TTTACTACAGCTCGGAAAACATAACCGCGTCGCGTGTGTTGCGTTCATATGCGCGTGCACGAAATGAAACTCGCATTTTTCAAGCAGAAATGTGGAGACCAGAAATACTGTACAATACGTGAATGATGGCACTCCCAATCAAAGTACACATTATAAAGACACTGATTATCTAGTCTCAGTGTAGTTAAAAACTCTAAACAACTGCACTAATTATGCAAGAAACCAATGTATTGGCAATTTGACATTGATTGACTATTGATTTATAGGCTATATTGAATTTAAAATGATGATTAGCTGGACATTCTGGTCAATATGAATGCAAATCCCTCAGTATATAACAATAAATCAAGATTTGCTTCAACATGCATAAAAAAATAAATAAATAAAAATCATAGGCTACTGATTCCGAAAATACCCAGGCTGTAGAGAGAACCAAAGTTAATCCCAAAAGCCAAAGTTCAGGGTTGTACTTTATTATTTTCTTCTTATTTATGTTTACGTTAATATTCACTTGTTATCTTAACATTCTATAAAAAACGCTTTATTCAGTAAATATTGTTTGTTTGAACCTCATTCTGTTCTATATTGTTGTACTTGTTCTTTGACTGTTTTGTTTAAAGGAGGGAGGATTGTATTGGGCGGTATTGAGTGGCAATGGCAAATGGTTTACATGGCTCACAGCATCACAGATCAGGTAGAGGTCCCCTTAGCAGAATTTTGCTTAGGGCCCCAGGGGGAGTTCAGGATTGGCAAAAAAAGATTGTATTTTTTCCCGAAATCTAAGCGTTTTTTCTTTTTTTGAGTTTTTCCATTCAATCCAGATTATTTCTTTTCAAATAAATAAATAAATAATAATAATTTAAAAAAACAATAAACAACAATATGAGGAACTCTTTTGCTCATTTGTCTCATCTCTGACATTTTGCAATCTTTATAAATAATAATAAGACCATAAGATGAGGCATTGCGTTTGGACATAAACACGGCCAGATAAGGCAATTTGGAAGGTGACAAATTCAACTGAATATATTCCTTCATATAGCCGTGAGGGACTGGGGGGGGTGCCCTTTTTTCAGGTCAGAGCAACTGCCCCTCAAAATTCCTGTGCACGTCCCTGATAGTGTCAGTTGAGGGACAGAAATCTCTCAGATCATCAAAAATATCTTCATTTGCGTTACGAAGAGGAACAAAAGTCTGTGTGTAATTAATGACAGAATTTATTTTTTGGTGATCTATCCCTTTAAATGTTGTAAATCAGTGTAATTGGCATACTGGCTTCCCCAGTCCATACACAACTAGGCTCGGGTGTCGTCTGAATTTCAGTGATTCCAGTTCTGATTCTTTTTCAATTCCCAGTTTCAGTTCCAATAAGGTGAACATTTAGATGTTGAAATTACATTTCAAACATATTTATTCTGTGCCTTTTTGTTGTAGATGAATCTCAAGAACCGAAATCAGTAAACAAAAACACAACAGCTAAAAAAAAGTTTGGTAATAAAATTAGAACAAATTAACAAAAGCGCAAACAAACACAGAAGAACAAAGTTCAGGTACAGAATTGAAATTAAATCTAAAATAACACTGCATAGTTTTCTTTTCACATAAATGAAAGTATAGATTAACTCTTATTAAAGCTACAGAAGTCACTCAGTCAGAAGCAGGGAGTGATTTTCTCTGTGTTTTATTGTTTGACTGACGTTAATGACAGACAGCCGCAGGTTTATTAGGCTGCTGTCGCTTTAAGAGCGACGTGTGCACAGAGAAAAGAGTTTCTTTTGCATCTTCTTGTTGTTTAAAATGTGCGGACGGGAATCAATACACAGAACTGATGCAGTCACTTAACTGTCACCCTCCCACAGGTGGGACGTTTGCCACTATATTTTTAAAACAATAATATCTTAGTAAATACCTTAAGTAATATTGACAAACTATATATCATTTTATAAGCTTACAATCTCTAGTTTCCATATTTGGTGACTGATTTTCAAAATATATTACAGAGGAGCCATAATTTATCAATATAAAACAAGAATATTTTCATACTCATAAGGAGTGTTCAGGCCTTTATTTTAAAATAGCAGTAAACATGAAAAATCATGAAAAAATGGTAGATACCTCAGTTTGTTTTCATGCCAAAAGTTCAAAAGATAGAATCCATTCAATTATTTTGGAAAAAAAAGGTCTGAAAAGTTTGAAATATCAAGAAAAAAATAATAAATTCACCATTTGTGACGTGGCAGCTATCTATGACTTACATGCGTGTTCTTTGTATGTGTTTCTTAGAGGTTCAATTCATTTCAAAATCTGAATCCAAACTACTCATACTACTTCTGAATAGGATCTCTACTTCAGAAATTGTATGAAAATTGTGAAAATAATGGTTCATATCACTCAAAACACGAGTGGAAATGCAGACGCCCTTATATGGGCAGTAATGGAGTCTGATTGTGCCCTAGTGAAAAAGTTTGGTACTGCGCTCAAACAAAATCTTTTTGAGATATCAACCTAAAATTTGAAACACAACTTGTTCAGATTTTTGGCTTTGATCTTTCTGCCGTTTTAGAGTAGCCCAGATTTTAAAAATATATATTTTATGTAAAATATGAATAATTAATATTTTTACATTGTACATTTCCATAAACTCAAACTTCTACAACTTTTTTTCTGTTTCACTTTCTTAATTTATTTCACTTCTACAAAAATCTGCCAAATGTCTTCTTTAAAACAAGACCAATCATATGTCTATATTCCAGAGAATTCTTGAATTACAACCATTTAAGTTCGAAATGTGCATTTTCATGTCTATTCAAAAAGGGGGGGGGGGGGGTGACAGTTTTTTAACCTACTGTAGAAATGCCAACTGCAGTGTACATCACACACTCAAGTCTCTCTCTGTGTCTCTCTGGTAGTGCTGGTCGGACGGGCGCATCTCTCACGTGCCGTTTTACTTCAGCAGCTCGGGGCTTTTAGGAGAGTCACAGAAGCAAGTCCTCGCCAGCAACACAACCCATGCTCCCGCCAACAAACTCTACACCGAGATCAGCTCATGAACACATTCACTAGCTGTCATAATAAACTATTTTTGAAGTATATTTTGTGATTTGTTTATATTTGCTGGTAAAACGATATGAGCACTTTGTATTTACTTTGATTGTGTAGAGAGTGGATCCGGAGTCAGAAGTTAGTTAACCTGTAGTCCAGCTTCTGTGATCAAACATATTATAATCTTATAAAAAAATGTTGGACAACACTGATCTAGATCAAAACCATGATTTGATTTTGTGACCTAATCCAATTTCTGATTTTTTTCTCTTTAACAAGCAGAAAAAAAACAAATCTGTTTGCCTCCTTAGCTCCAGTTGAGTCCGTCGTCTGTTCGTCCCCATCAGGCTTCCTCATCCCTCTGAATCATCCCTGGTTTCTACCCAGAAATGGCAAAAGTACTCACTACCCACCTTTACAACGGGCAACCAGATGAGACACAGGCCCACGACCGATCTAAATGAACCAGATAGAAATATATTGCCTAGTGTTGTAGTACTCAAGACTCGGACTCGTCTCGGTCTCGAGACCATTATTTTAATGGTCTTGGTCTTGTCATGGACTCGTGTCCATTTGGACTCGGAATTGACTCGTACTCGAACATTTTTTTTTTTAGGACTCGGAATTATTCCCGAGTCCACTCGAGTTCAATTCAAAATATTTTTCATGATTATTAATGTATGTTAATAAAATATTTCTTTAAATTGATTGACACGCCCAGTGATTGGTGATTTTCTAGTGCGCACCTGCGCATGACAAATTGTAATAAAATTACTTTTAACACCACCTACTATGTGGCCTTTTTACCCTAAACTGATCATATTTTTTAAACTCTAAGTAAATTCAGTAAAAAAAAAAAAAAAAAAAAAGGATTTCTCTAAGTAAATAAAAGTAAATTAGGTAATCAACCCTCACTGGTCTCGGTCTCGACTCGACCGTTTCTGGTCTCGGACTCGACTCTCTCTGGACTCGGTCTTGACTCGGACTCGACTCTCTCTGGTCTCGGTGTCGACTCGGACTCGAGTGAGGTGGTCTCGACTACAACACTGATATTGCCCATTTTCAATGGAAAATTACCCAAGCAACAAATCGCCCAGCAAGCTTGCTCAAAAAGTTGCCTTGTGTATCATCACCTTTAGAGTTACAACTAGCAACCACTAGAGGGCAGCAGCATATGAGAAATGAACTGACAGCTTGTAAGTCTTTGATTTGATTAAATTCGGTATTCATGCTGCGAAAAAATAATAACTAACTCCACTGAAGTTATTTGAAACTAGTAACGAGCCAATTTTGTCAAATATAAGGCGTAGAAAGTACTGTTATTCATGTTAAAAATGTAAAGAGTTGGCACAAAAATAGGAAAAATATCAGAAAAATCTGCTTGAGTTCAGTAACGGAGTATTTGTACAGGACACTCACATGACATCCAACCATCCAATCGATTTGTCAAGGACAAAATCAACCCACAAACACACACACATTGTCTCTTTCCTGTAGATTCTCTCAGATATGACACAAGAAAAGAAAGACTTCTGATTAATGAGACGGTAAAAAATATATGGGGTTACACAGATTAATTCATGACCGGTTCATTACTGTACTCGTGTTTATTTTGCTGGCTAATTTGTAATCTAATTTATTAATTTTTTTATTAAGTGCCATTGTGTATTATACCCAAATACAACTCTAATGAAAAGAACTTTACAAAAAAAAAAACGTTACGTCATTTGTAATATTTAAAAATAGTCAGCAGCAATAATAATTTACACTCATGAGTATTTTGGATTAAATTCGTCCTCATTGAACATCAAAAGAGGCGGCCCAACAGCAGTGCATTTATAATGTTGTGTTAAATATATAATAGTCCTGTAGGTGAATGTTACTGGTGCAGTGTTTGTGTGTGAAGAGGGCTGATTCCTATATGGGATGTTCACGGTAACGCGCATCAGCGGCACGCGCTTCATCACATACACAGGGCAGCGCGGTCACGTGATCTGCAGGAGTCCCGGCCGGACCGGAGAAATGTCCGTTCATGATCCGAGCATCGGTGATTCAGCTCGAACTCTTCAGACGTCCACCCTATCTCAGTGTAGATGTTATTTAGTGATGTATGAGTGTGACACGCTGGAGTGCAGCGAGCAGCGTCGGTGAAGAGACACGCGTCGCGTCGCGTTTGCCGCAGGTAGGCTGCGGTGTTTCATCATTATGTGCTTCACATGCAGGTCCAGTTATGAACTTCCAGCACAGGGATGATGATGATGATGATGATGATGACCACTGTACAGCTGATCCGGGATTAAGATGTTTGGCTGTCATTGATTTCAGCAGATGGGATGATGACGCATGTGTTTCAGGATGGGACAAGATGTCAACACACACACACACACACACACACACACACACACACACACACACACACACTTGCTCTCAGAACACAATCCGTAAATACCATCATTTAAAGAGGTTTAAATAAACGTTTTGACTTTCTTTCTTTAATAGAACACAATATGAGAAATAGAAAACAGATCATAGCCTAGTTGACAGAAGTCATTACTAAAATACTTCACACGAATATTATAATAAATACATGTTTCATTTAGCTTGGCCATTGTTTAGAGTGAAATAACTTGTTAAAGGGATAGTTCACCCAAAAATGAAGATCAGCCCATGATTTACTCTCCCTGAACCCATCCTGCTGTATATGACCGTCTTCTCTCAGACGAACACAGAGTTATTATATTAAAACATGTCCTGGCTCTTCCAAGCTTTATAACGGGAGTGAATGTCCGTTCCTGTTTTGAAGTCCATATAAGTGCATCTACTTGTTATAAAAGTGCATTGTTGAATATTTTTCTTACACAAACTCATCGGCCTCAACTACATAAGGCCTTTATTAACCCCCCGGAGCCTGTGGAGCACTTTAATCATAGATAGATGCACTTTTATGATGGAAAGATGCACTTTTATGATCGATAGATGCACTTTAATGCACTTTTTGTTGGTGCCTTTTTATGAGTATTTCCCAATCTGCTCAGTTACTGGGATTTTCACGCACAACCATTTCTAGGGTTTACAAAGAATGGAGTGAAAAGGGAAAAACATCCAGTATGCGGCAGTCCTGTGGGCCAAAATGCCTTGTTGATGCGAGAGGTCAGAGGTCGACTGATTCAAGCTGATAGAAGAGCAACTTTGACTGAAATAACCACTCGTTACAACCGAGGTATGCAGACAACACACACAACCTTGAGGCGGATGGGCTACAACAGCAGAAGACCCCACCGGGTACCACTCATCTCCACTACAAATAGGAAAAAGAGGCCACAATCTGCAAAACTGGAGAGTTGAAGACTGGAGAAATGTCGCCTGGTCTGATGAGTCTCGATTTCAGATGGTAGAGTCAGAATTTGGTGTAAACAGAATGAGAACATGGATCCATCATGCCTTGTTGTAATGGTTTTCTTGGCACACTTTAGGCCCCTTAGTGCCAATTGGGCATCGTTTAAATGCCTCGGCCCACCTGAGCATTGTTTCTGACCATGTCCATCCCTTTATGGCCACCATGTCCCCATCCTCTGATGGCTACTTCCAGCAGGATAATGCACCATGTCACAAAGCTCAAATCATTTCAAAGTGGTTTCTTGAACATGTCAATGAGTTGACTGTACCAACATGGCCGCCACAGTCACCAGATCTCAACCCAATAGAGCATCTTTGGGATGTGGTGGAACGGGAGCTTCATCCCACAAATCTCCATCAACTGCAAGATGCTATTCTATCAATATGGGCCAACATTTCTTAAATACATTCCCAAAGCAATATGTGAAGCGGCCCTGTCCTGTTGATGACCCTGAGCCTGAACTGTGGTTTTCCAAGAGCTCAGACTGTGGTCGTAGGTTTGTTCCTGTGCACATGTGACTTATGTTTATTCATGTGACTGACCCCACAGCCTCCTTGATGGACCGCATGAAGATCATTAAGAAGCGGCTGTCCATGAGCTTGCAGAGCGTCCGGCGTTTGGACGAGAGTCTGTCCGAGCTTCCAGAAGACACCGGCCTGGACGAGCCTCCCCTGACCCGAGACATCGGTGAGAACACACTCTCACACACACTCACACACACTGAACTGGGGCTGTAACGTTTCTGTAAGCATGTTGCGTAGTTGTGCTTGAACTCATTTGTATTATTTGTGATAAATGCCTAATTGTGCTGACATTTTTGGCCAGACTTTCAAAGAAATCATTAAAAATCAAAAATCAGAGAACCAACAAAATATTAATACCTAATTATGTTGTAGTCGGTCAATGTATGCTTTTTCCTGTAAGCTACTATGCATTTTTTTTGTATAGAGAGCCTAAGCCCCTCCCCTTCCGGTCGACCGCCATGGGACCTTATTTCGGAAAAATATTGAATGGTAGTCAATGGCGAGAGACAACAAATATTTTGATCTGGTTTGAATTGTGCCCTGAATTACACATATGATGTTTGTCAATTTAAAAGATACATTTTAAAGTAAAGAAAGTGGCAGTTTGATGTAAAACCGTTGAGGTATAAGACTGGGAAAATACGTAATTAAAAAGACTACAAACCCCAAAGGCGCACATTTTCTCCCAATGAATGAAGCTAACTATTACTGAGGCTGTCTGTTATTGTTTCTGTAGTCTTACATTATAATCGTAACGTTACGCCGTCATGCCTGAGTGTTTTGAACCAGACTGCACACACACGAGCAGCGGATCTCGTTTCTCTTCTGGGAGATGTAGTTCATAGAGCGATGTTCACATAAAACTAAATGTTACTCTTCTGTTTTATGACAAACTGCGACGTTTTTGACTTTCAGAATTATCTTTTAATTTGACGAACATCATATGTGTAATTGAGGGCACAGTTCAGACGGAATAAAAAGATAAGTTGTCTCTCGCCATTGACTACCATTCATATTTTTTCCAAAATAAGGTCCAATGAGCTGGAAGCGGAGGGGCGGGACTTAGGCTCTCTATAGTAAAATAAAACCTTTTGCCGTTTTTGCCAAATAATTTTGTCAGATGCTCATGTTTATTATTTTGTTATTCTCTCATATTTATAAAAATAAACACATACAGTATTTTCCTCATATTTTGATGGATGTGGTCGGTCTGCTTCAGTGCTGACTGTGAGCTGCACCGCTGCATTCTTACACTCGCTAAAAAACTCATTCTTCCTTTCACTTGTGCAGTCAGAGTATTGATGTGTTGAGTGGGATAGGGCATCAGATATCTCAGAAGGTCAGTTACAAAAAGAATAGCTTGATGAAGTATCGCTTTACCCACACCCTGTATCATATAACTCCTGCTTCGCTGGACATTCACATTACATTATTTAGGATCTGAGACCTAGTCTGAACAGATAGCAAAGAGTGAAATGATGTCATTCTTAGAAGTTTGACACACTGAAGTCTATAATATTAGTCTGAGCGGCTTTATACATACGACCCCCGGTAGATTGTATGGGACTATTTTGGAAACAAGGTGTATGATAATAATGTCATGAAAAAATTTTATAATGTCATAAAAATCATAGTATTGACAATCATACTATGATTTGCGATTAATAACTTACTACACTAACACCGTTTTTTATCTGACGGGCGTCCATCTGCTGGATCTTCTGATGCACATAGTGAAGTAATGTATTTTCTGGGCCTCTAAGCCAGAAACCCAACTAAACTGGAATAAAGTTCAAGTTCAGGGTAAAAGGAGGCAGGAACAAATGTATTAATAGAATAAACATAAAGAACAAAACGAAAGTAAATCATGGACGACTGCCACATAAACTAAAGCAAAAGCACAACATGAAGTGGTGCTCTCTCGCCCTTCTCTGCTGTCTCTCCTCCTCCGTGGGACTCGAGGCCGGGGTGTTCATTAACACTCGCTCTCGGCCACGCCCCTTCTGTTCTGTTAACTCTTTCTTTTTGTATTGTTTGGATTCACACAAGCAATTATGTTTTAACAAATATTATTGAGCATTAAGTTTAAATGCAGAGTACAGTATACATTTATATGGTAAAATGCAATAACAAATTAACTTTAGTCAAAATATATAAAGAGTAACTTGTATAAATGGCCTTGTTTCTCTTGTTCTGATATAGCCAGATGTTGAGTTGTAGTTCCTTTCTTGTTGACTAATATCGCCTCAAGTTGACATCTCTCAGAAATGAATGATTTCTAGTTGTTCGTTTCAGCAAATCAGTGTCAGCGTGACGGCCCCTTTTTACTCCAGATCTGTTACCTGAACTTTTGCTACTCAAAGCAGACATCAATCATGGGTGAAATGTCATGGCCTTCGATGGGTTTTAATTTTTTTCGATTGCATGATGTGCAATGTAAAAACTACAAGACATCAGGGGTTATAGTGTGTGTGTGTGTGTGTTAACAGGTGTAGTCCAGGGGAAAATGTGGTCGGATGGAGAAAGTGATCAAGCTTCAGGAACCTCCTCTGATGAAGTCCAGAGTCCTGTACGAGTGCGGATGCGTAGTCTTCAACAGCGCCTCTCTAATGAGGTAATACACACATTCCAACAGGTAGACGCACACGCATACGCTGAGCTTAAATTATATATTAAATTAGGCAAATGCTGTGTCTCAAGATGGCGTTCTGCTATATCCCCGAAGGATCTCAGAGTCCAAACTTGTGGTTTCTTATAGTGCGAAAGGGGAACATGGGCATTAAAGTTTAGCACTGTTATGTAGTCACCAGGTGACATTTATAACCCTATCCAGATCTTCCCCATACAACTGCTGTTTGACACATTATATGATCTTTCCCCTTCAGGAAGTCAATAAACGTCTTTCACTGCCAGCGGATATTCGTTTGCCGGAGGGTTACCTCAAGAAGTTCGCCTCGAACAGCCCGCCGTTTGACAAACCTCTCAGTCGAAGGTTTCGCAGAACGTCACTCGTAAGTCTTTCTTTGTCATGATCTATTATTATGACATCATCAATGTGTAGAATGTATTTCTATTCTGTATCTGTGTCTATCAGACAGGGCTTAGATTACACCAGGGTTAGGCCGAAGTTCAATTAGACATTTAAGGAGCTCTTATAAACTTAGAAAAACACTTTACTGGTGTAAAACAATGGCACTGCTATATATTGTAAGATATCCTTTCAGTTAAAACAAATCAAACATGCATTATAGTCTGGGACTAGATCAAGCCTCGTCTATGAAAGCGGGGTTTATCTCAAATCTCTGTGTGGATGGTTCAATACACTTTTGATTATTGTTTACATTAGATTATAGACAAAATAAAATCAGCTAATCACTGAGACTTGTTTTCCTTTCAGTCAGAAATCGGCTTTGGCAAATTAGAGTCATATGTCAAACTGGACAAACTGGGAGAGGTGAGATCCTGACCAGCGCCAGTCTTCTCCACAGCTGACCATACGGTTTCTGTTCAACTAAACTAAATTCATTTGATTGAGTGTTTGACCTTGCATTAGAACTGTCGTCAATAGAGTTGAGTGGGTTATCCTTATCTTTCTTTAGGCCAATTGTCAGTTGATATTGTTCTTTTCAACTAGTTTTACAATTTGCCATTTTTATATGAATGCAAAGGCTATTGCACACCAGTAATACCACTGAACAGCTGATTTGTGTGTGTATGTGTGTAGGGCACATATGCCACAGTGTTTAAGGGGCGTAGTAAGTTAACGGATAACCTAGTGGCTCTGAAGGAGATCCGGTTGGAGTATGAGGAAGGCGCTCCCTGCACCGCCATACGAGAAGGTACAGCACCCACTTTCGGTCCGGAGTCTGGGAACATGAGGGACGCACAATATATTGGCCACCACATAATTATCGGCCACCATATCATTACCGGCCACTATAATTACCGGCCACCATATCATTACCGGCCACCATATCATTACCAGCTACCATATCATTACTGGCCACCATATCATTACCGGCCACCATATCATTACCGGCCACCATATCATTACCAGCTACCATATCATTACCGGCCACCATATCATTAACGGCCACCATATCATAACTAGCCACCATATCATTACCTGCCACCATATCATTAACGGCCACCATATAATTATCGGCCACCATATCATTACCGTCCACCATATCATTACCGGCCACCATATCATTATTGGCCACCATATCATTATTGGCCACCATACCATTACCGGCCACCATATTAGTACTGGCCACCATATCATTAACGGCCACCATATCATTATCGGCCACCATATCATTACCGGCCAGCATATCATTACCGGCCACCATATCAGTACTGGCCACCATATCATTATCATCCACCATATCATTACCTGCCACCATATCATTATCATCCAGCATATCATTATCATCCACCATGTCATTACCGGCCACCATATCATTGCTTATATAGCCCTCATTTCTCAAGACAACACCAGGCTGGGTTTTTTCAATAAAGATTGTGTTCTTTCTTGCCAATTTGGAAACTACAAACACTAGACAAGATGTGTGAATGCCTTATTTACTAACCTGTAACCTGCATGAATGCTCAACCATCACCACGCGCTTTTCTTTCAATGCATGAATTCAGTCACTCAATTCATCATTAAATCACGGCCTGTGGGGCATTTAACCTAGATGTATATGTGGTTATATCTTCTCCAAAATAATAATCTCCAAATTTAAACAGAAACTTGTGTAGTGGAATATGAAATAGCTACATGTATTTCATCCAAAAGCTACTGTTATTGCTTACGGTGACTGCTTTTTTTGTGCCAACATCTGTACATGTATGGTCAGGGTAAATGTTCATACTGTTAAATCACCTAGTTTGTGATTGTTGATACTGCCGTAACAGTGCCGGACCGTATGAGTGTATACACTTCTGTGAGGTTCACTCATGCTGATATGGTGATGTGCCTCTCTCTGCCAGTGTCTCTCCTGAAGAACTTGAAACACGCCAACATCGTCACGCTCCACGACATCATCCACACAGAGAAGTGCCTTACACTCGTCTTCGAGTACTTGGTGTGTGAGATGTTATTCATCCTCGCATTTCTAACTCGGTCCATCTACTGTGCTTCTGATGCACTTGTGCTGTGTGTTTCAGGAGAAGGACCTCAAGCAGTATCTGGAGGACTGTGGGAGCATCATGAGCGTTTATAATGTAAAGGTCAGACAGCTGCAATCTTAGTTTCACTCACAAATAAGACATCAGGGAAAGTGACTGAAAACAACTTCATGTCATAGCACACACCACTTCATGTGGCCTGAATAGATTAAGACAGAGATTTACTGGGACAATCAGCTGGAATGTCAATCAACTATCCCTATCACTTCTTTCCTGACTATAAGAAATGATACTAAAGTTTGGCCGAGCCCTGGACCGAACCCTGACCGACAGGGCACAGATGAGGCCAGATCACGCAGATGTAGGACTGAGAGAGATCGAGAAGAGTAGAGAAAGGATGAACAAAAGCAAAGCCAGAGCGAGAGAATATAGTAAGAAAGGAGTGCTGACTGCGAGGAACATTAGCCTGTGTGTAGCCACAAAACATTTAGGAAACGTGGTTTACAACAGTACAGGTACAGATAGTGTTAGACCTCACTGTATTGATGTCCCCTGCAGATCTTCCTGTTCCAGCTGCTGCGAGGTCTGGCTTACTGTCACCGGCAGAAAGTGTTGCACAGAGACCTCAAACCGCAGAACCTCCTCATCAGCGACAGGGGCGAGCTCAAACTGGCCGACTTCGGTACGCCGCTCTCAGACCCAAACACTTCTGCTCATGGACACCTGTGAACTGATGAAGACTCGTCGCGTTTACAGATTTACATCTCGTCTGTGTGTGTTTGTGAAGGTCTCGCTCGCGAGAAGTCCGTTCCCTCAAAGACTTTCTCTAATGAAGTCGTCACTCTCTGGTACAGACCTCCGGATGTGCTGATGGGGTCCACCGAGTACTTCACCTCCATCGACATGTGGTGAGGTCACACTCACACACACACACACTGGTTTCACCTAAAAATGCAACTTTTAATCTGAGCCCATTCCTCATGAGCAATGGCCTCCAGTTCAGCAATATTCTGAAACCAACTTCTTCAAATCCCACCAGAGGGATATTCTGTGGGGCTTGAGTCATGTGACTGTGCTGCCCCTGTATCTCCTGACACTGAGCCTGAGGGATGCTGGGGATCGTTGTCCTGTTGAAGGTCTAGAATCTTCACTGACGGCATGATGGTTTCTCCTAGGATCTCCTGATCCTTCAGTGATCGCCTCTCCTTCCACACGCTGCAGGTTTGATATAGATCAGCGAGAGCATCATGAGCTGTAGACAGAGCTCTTATTTCCTCTTCCTCAGACACACGGCCGATCCAGGGGGACGAGAAGCTCTAGGACAGAATCCCAAACCTCGGTGGCTTATTTATATGATATTGTGTGTTTGGGTCAGTAATGGTGTAGTCCTGGAGTTCTTAGTTCGAGCTTTACTGTGCAGCTGAACACCAGCTCTTCTGAACTCCAGGCTTTTACTGACCCTGCCTTGAACCAAATCTGGTTTCAGCCGTTGAGATCAGCCTCCTTCTGCCCGTCCAGGAGTGTAAACACAGTTCCTTTAACTCTGAACTCGCCAACGGTGTCTCGAGGAACACTTAGTGCCTTCGCCATCTTTCTGGATCCTGTTCCTTGTTTGTGAAGGGCGATGGTGTCTTCTCTTCACTTTTTGGACCATTCTTTTGACTTACTGTATTTCTAACACAGTCAAACATGACACTCAACAAACTTAGCCAGTTCAGATATGTCATATTCTAGCTCAAGCTCTAAAGTTGCCTTTTTAGCTGAAAATCTTTCAAGTTGTCCTTGAAACTCGAACTATTTCAATTACTCTTGTTTGATTTGTTCAAGTCTGTATATTTTACCAATAAACCTGATTTGCTATGGGGGTTGAATACTTTCGATTACAACTGTACTTCCCGAAGCGGATCTAGGCAGGTGGAGCTGGGGAGGTAGAGGAATCAGCAAGCGATCTCATTGGCTGCAGGATCAGCTTGCACCATGCGGTAATGATGTAATTACATGTAAAGAACCTATCTAGAGTTTCATGTTGTTCTCTAGTTAATCTCCTTGGTAGTTAATTAGTTCATTACACTTGTCCTGTTTCCACATTATACTTTATTCAGGTTCAGGTGTGTTTGATTGGAGTTTGAGCTGAACTCAACACAGTTGGTTGTCAACACACTGAGCTAAATTCTGTTCATGAGTGTTTCATGGGTGTCATTTTATATTCAGCCAACTAGAGGAGAGCTTCGGATGTTACTCTGAAGACTGTTTCAACTCTTCCTTCATGTTGACAGCGTGTTTTGCTGGCTTTAGTTCTCCAGCACACAGCAGATCAAGACTTTTCCTTTCATGCATTTCTCAAATAGACGTTTTATTCTTTTTGCTTTGTTTCATTAACATAGGGGTGTAGGTTGTATATTCTATGAAATGATCACCGGACGCCCCCTCTTCCCTGGGTCGACGGTGGAGGATGAACTTCATCTTATATTCCGGATATTGGGTAAGAGCATGTTCAATAGCCCTCATTTCTCAAGACAACACCAGGCTGGGGTTTTTCTATAAAGATTTTGTTTTTTCTTGCCATTTTGGAAACTACAAACACTAGACAAGATGTGTGAATGCCTTCAGAGTACATCTTCATACTGTTAAATCACCTAGCTTGTTGCATATAAACAAAAGGAGTATGCATGTGTCCTTTGACATGCACGTTTACACATCTGAGCAACTTTACCATTTAATTCAGATGTCTAACTACTACTGGTGACTCTAGTGATAGCAAGTACGTGTAGTTGGAGTGTGTTTTGATTATAAACTCATGTCATCTCCAGGTTCTCCGACTGAGGACTCTTGGCCAGGAGTCAATACCAATGAAAACTTCCTTTCCTTCAACTTCCCCCATTATGACGGGGAACCTCTGATCACTCATGCACCCAGGTGTGTGAAAGCCTGCTTCCTGATATTATATATTTGTGGTTCTATATATGAGGTGTATATTGGGAAAGGTTTCTAGTACCCACACCTAAACAGGGTCTCTAATTGGTAATGTTTGACACACAGAAAACAGTTAAACTATAGAGTCCAGGTTCAACAGCAAAGGAAAAGGCCGAGGACAAGGACATGAGCAAGGGCACCAGAATACGCCAGAGCCCACAAATAATACATGTCTAAACATTGGGACTGGGCACTATAGCTATAATATGATTTGTGTAATTTGTTCTACAGGATCACCAATGACGGTCATGATCTGCTATGCCAGTTTTTACAGGTAAAGGACGAATTCGCTTTTCCTCTTGCAAAGAAAACCTTCAGGTCAAAAGGTTTTTGATGAATGTCTACTTTAATAATTCATATTTTGCTTTACCAGATTAGTATGTCTATTATTATGAAATACTTTTGGACTTTCATTGATACACCTGTCCTTATTTAATTCTCATAGGTACACTATGTAACTTTTGGCCCTCTAGCGGTTAAACAAAACTGCATGATTTTGTAGATGAACATTGTTTTGGTGGTGCTTTGGCTCTGTAAAAGACACATGCTCACTTCAGATGAATGTGTTTTTGTAGTTTGAAGCAAGGCGGCGTATTTCTGCAGAAGTGGCTCTTCGGCACATTTATTTCAGAGAATTGGGAGACAAAGTACAGGATCTGGATGACAGTAAGAATTTCATCCTAGTAATATTAAAGTAGTATAAGTTCATATTTAGTAGTTTCACAAATTTATGTTGGGAAGATGTGATGCTACACGTAAACATCTCATTCGTCAAAACATTTGGGAACATTATAAGTCAAGATGGCAGTTTCTGCTTGTAAGAAATAATGTTGTGCACAACTATTTCTACACATTTACAGTATATCATACAGTCACTGCTGAAATGTTGTATCTATTATAAACCGTTTTCAAATTCTGTCCCCACAGCTACCTCCATCTTCTCCGTGAAGGAGATTCGACTGCAGAGGGACCCAGGAAAACACTTTCCAGCGCAAAGAGAGTTGGGTGAGTTCAAGTATTTACCTAAATCTACAGTTCCTTGTAATGTACATGATGAAAAACAACCAACAAACAAACGAAAAAGCATTCATAATATGAGATCAATAGGGTCACACAATGTTGTAAAATAACACACCAGCAGTATTATCACTGGCGGCTGCAACTAGACAGTACCCTAGCAACCAAACAGTACCCTAACAACCGTTTAGCAATACCTATATTTCTGCATCAGAACATCGTAGAGACGTGGTGGTTGGCTCCTTTGAATTATGCAAGCAAACAGGACTTTTGAGGATATTTTAAGGACTCACCAACCTGAAACTGGCTCACCCTGGACCTCCTAAAGAGAGGGGCCATCGCTGTGGCTTGCTTTCTCCTGCCTCGTGCCCTGAGTGCTGTAGACAAGACCATAGAAGAGACCTTTATGAAGTTTGCCAAGTCATCAAATATGCAGTGAGGGACAAATTATAGAATAGTGCAGTATAGTGGCTGCTTGGTTTGGAAATGGTCCCATTTGCAGGAGGTCTGCTTGGCATCTCCACCAACTTCCCAGCCTTTCAGCGCTGGTGCCGAAGCACATCTGCATGAGTCCAGTACTTTGAGATGTCGCTGGATACGTGGTCTTATGGACGACCCGGGACTGGACTCTTCTCGATCTGGGCCAGCTCCAGCTCATGGTGTTTCCCAGCCTTGAGGAACTCAGGGTAGTTGATAAGACCACGCATCTCCAGCAACATCCTAAAGTTCTGGACCCATGCAATAATCCTGCTGTCTAATCTACATCTTGATACGCCACACCTGTGTGGATGATGGATGATCTCATCAAAGGAGAAGTGCTCACCACATATTTAGACAGATTTGTGAACAATATTTGAGAGAAATAGGCCTTTTTGTACATAGAAAAAGTCTTAGATCTTTTCATCAGCTCATGAAAAATGGGGGCAAAAACAAAAGTGTTGCATTTATAATTTTGTTCCGTGGATGTTGAATCACTTAGAAATTTATTTGCACATCTGCTGTCTTTCTTTTTTGTTTGTTTTAACATGTCTTGTGTATTTCAGCGGTGGTCCATCGAATGGGCTCTGCCCCACCTGAACATTTCCTCTCTGAGGGAGTGAACCGTCTTCTTCATCCGGCCCCGCTCTCGTCGTAGACCGGCTCATGCAGAGTTTCCTCTCCTTTGCATTTGCTGTGTAACATTTTGTTGGTCTTTCTTTGTTTACAAAGTTCTCTTATCTTTTAACATCTTTTTTAATTGTTTTTATTTGCACATATTTTGTCTCTGTCTGTAAATATCTTTATGAAAGACAGTGAAGAACAAAAATCATTGCTATTAGGCATCAAGTCCCAAAGATGTGCAATGCCCCAAAAAGTGTTTGTTAGTCACTTTTCTTCTGCCATGGGAATCTATTGCAGCCCAAATTACCACAGGGTCAAAGGTTGTGAAATGGCATAGCCATGGCATGGGCTCTAATTGTCAACACATTAAGGATTTGCCCCTCAACGTCTCCAGTTTTGCTGTCTTTCCCATCTTCCAATTGGGCCAAGCCAAATTCAGCGCAGTTTCACTGTTAGCCATATTGCATCGTTCTCGGAGAACTTCAAGTTTGCCAAATTGTAGCTGGTCTCCGAAAAAAGTGTCCAATCTTGACCACTTTTCATCCAATCTTGAGTCCCACATCATGTCTTCAGACTATCTTTGAGATCTAGCACTTTCAATTACTACTGTATATGAAGTGTATTACAAAAATAAACTTGCCTTGCCGGTGCAAAACTAACCAAATGGATTTTTATAATGCAACAATTCAGCAATAGTGAGTCCTTCTCAATCGCAGGCTGTTTCCTGAGAGCCGTCGAAGGCCGTCTTCATTTGAAGGATCCTTGGGAGGCAGTGTATGTTCTGCGTCCCTCATTCAGTGTGTTTTGGAGGACACACTAAGAGAATTGTCAGGAAATGAAGCCCCCCAGATGTAGGTCTTCACACAAAAGGTTCCTGTAGGGAGAGGACCAATAAAACCCGTATTTCCAGAAGCCCTGTGGATCTATACTTTTTAAAATAAGTTGTTTGGCGTCATTACCATTATCTCTCTTTTCAACTCAGGGGAAGTCTCATCTAAGTGTTTTGCTTTAACTCATATTGACGTGTATGTGATGATGTCACAGGCACATGTGCAAAGAGCATGCAATCAACATACAACAGAAACTCAGATTAAAGATTCACCATAGGGGCGTATTTGAAGCATGGAGTTCATTTATACATGTAAATATGCACAATCACGTGTGCGCATATGCATACTGTGGTATAAAGAAATGTGTAATTCATTTTTTTCTTTGGAACATAAGGAGTTCGTAGAGCTGTGGACAACAGCGTGGTAGGGGTGGTTACAGCTCTGGTGACCCGAGGGTGTCTGGACTAGAGTCTGCCGAATTGAGGGTGTCTAGTCTAGCTTTTGGTGACCCGAAGGTGTCTAGACTAGCGTACGGTGACCCAAAGGTGTCTGGTCTAGTGTCTGGTGACCTGAGGGTGTCTGGTCTAGCTTCCGGCTACCCGAGGGTGTCTGGACTAGAGTTTGGTGACCCGAGGGTGTCTAGACTAGCGTCCGGTGACCTGAAGGTGTCTGGACTAGAGTTTGGTGACCCGAGGGTGTCTAGACTAGTGTCCGGTGACCCGAAGGTGTCTGGACTAGAGTTTGGGGACCCGAAGGTGTCTAGACTAGCGTCCGGTGGCCCAAGGGTGTCTGGTCTAGTGTCTGATGACCTGAGGGTGTCTGTTCTAGCGTTCGGTGACCCGAGGGTGTCTATACTAGCGTCCGGTGACCCGAGGGTGTCTATACTAGCGTCCGGTGACCCGAGGGTGTCTGGACTAGCGTCCGGCGACCTGAGGGTGTCTGGACTAGCGTCCGGCGACCCGAAGGTGTCTGGACTAGCGTCCGGCGACCCGAAGGTGTCTGGACTAGCGTCCGGTGGCCCGAGGGTGTCTGGACTAGAGTTTGGTGACCCGAGGGTGTCTATACTAGCGTCCGGCGACCTGAGGGTGTCTGGACTAGCGTCCGGCGACCCGAAGGTGTCTGGACTAGCGTCCGGCGACCCGAGGGTGTCTGGACTAGCGTCCGGTGGCCCGAGGGTGTCTGGACTAGAGTTTGGTGACCCGAGGGTGTCTATACTAGCGTCCGGTGACCCGAGGGTGTCTGGACTAGCGTCCGGCGACCTGAGGGTGTCTGGACTAGCGTCCGGCGACCCGAAGGTGTCTGGACTAGCGTCCGGCGTCCGGCGACCCGAGGGTGTCTGGACTAGCGTCCGGTGACCCGAGGGTGTCTGGACTAGCGTCCGGTGACCCGAGGGTGTCTGGACTAGCGTCCGGTGGCCCGAGGGTGTCTGGACTAGAGTTTGATGACCCGAGGGTGTCTATACTAGCGTCCGGTGACCCGAGGGTGTCTGGACTAGCGTCCGGTGACCCGAGGGTGTCTGGTATAGCAGCCGGCGACCCGAGGGTGTCTGGTCTATGTCCGGTGACCCGAGGGGCCCGAGGCTGTCTAGTCTAGCGTCCGCCAGGAGTGGTCCACGAGCCGTAATCACTGTTTACATGCACGCATGAATGAAATTGCAGCTTACAACAGTAATGTTTTATATTTGAATATATTTATATAGGTCTTTGCACTTCCGGATAGATGCTTCTGTATTTCATTGGCTCTACTGTACTCTGCACAATGACAATAAAGTTGGATCTAATTTCATGTAATTACACAGACCTGTTGTGCCTTCGTCCCAGTGGAACCCAGTCGGAGCAGGAGTAAAGCTGGCTCTTCTGTGTCGGTGATAAATCAGGGTGCACACTAGTTCACACACATTGGTTTAGCAAATCACATTTCAAATTGACATTTGTATCATATATACTCATTTGTATTTTAATTTTATTCTTGAGTAGTTTATAACTCTACAACTTAATAGTAAAGAGTAACACAAACCTTAATCTGCTGGTAAAGGGTAATTATTATTCAAATGATTTGTAATGCATATTTATTTGCTACATAATAATCCAGTGTGATTTGCTGGTTATAAATGTTTACGTCAGATTTGATTTGCAGTCAAAAATAAGAAATGTAAGCTCACAGCCTATATTGAAGTCTGTTTTCATTTTATTATTAATTTACTATCATTTATACAGCATATAATGCGGAAATTATTATGCTGTTTATTGTAGAACATATTCTAGGCCACTACAAGTAAGTGCATGTATATCATGCATATCTGATCATCATACGTCCTCCGATTGTTAAATCCTTGATTTGGCTAAATGTCATCAAGGTAATGTCAGTGGTTCTCCGTGAGCACACCGAAGTCGTTAAACAGGAGGACAATGATGACTCTTCCAGTATCACTCTGTAAAGTTTACATTTTTTCGAGCGGGTTATTCCTGCAAAATAAAAAATAAAAAAATTGAAAAAAAAAATTAGTTTTTAATTAATTTTAATTTAAATTCATCTTAATATTATAAAAATGAATTATCCCGATGGTTTCCTAGAAGCATTTATCAGCCAAAAAGCAACTGAATTGAAACTGAAACTGACTGACGTCAGCGCGGAATAGTTTGGGACAGCGAGAGTCACGTGAACGCGCGCTCCCGTCCAGTTGGTGGCTGCTGTGTTTACCAAACCAAACATTGAACCTCAGAAGAAAAGGAGAAGAGTGTTTCTGGAGGTTCAATGGCGTGCCATCGCTTGTTTGTGTGTGTAATCTGTGTTTTAAACGTGACAGTGTCATGGGGTCAGATCTACTCTGCGCTCTATGATGAGAAAACATCTCATCTGTTCCTGAAAGAGGGATTTCAACCGGACTCTGTCGCTGTCGCCAACTTCACCAACGACATCAACAAAACTGGGTGAGAACAACACACACACACTTCGCCAACGACATCAACAAAACTGGGTGAGAACACACACACACACACACGTCACCAACGACATCAACACCACTGGGTGAGAATACCTTCACTAACACATCAACAACACTGGATGAGACAGTGAATGAACGAACATGTCACGAATACATTTACAAACACGTTATAAACACAGAGTAAATCGTATAGTAGGCTAACGTTATATGGGGTAATTTGCGAATGTGATCCAGGACTGCGACAGTTGTTGATTTTGGACTAGAGTAAAATTTAAAGGAATATCAAAAGCCACATCTATCATGTTGTTTAGCATTCATCAGATCTGCGATGTCTTGTGAACATAAAGTCAATGAGTGTATTGATCTACAGAGTGCAGGAGTACAGATCGGTTGTTTAAAGAGTAATAAACCCTGAAACAGCTTTTTTTAGTTAATGATCTGTAAGAAATGAGCTTCATTTAATTTTATATGGCACAAATAAACAACACAACAGAAGTTGACCACTGTACGTTACAAGGGAGAAGTCCAGGAAACATGAAATAAGGAACAAAATAAACCATCACATAATAAAACCATAACGTTTTGAGATTTAGTGAAATACCTCAAGATAAAACTTTAAAGGGGTAGTTCACCCAAAAATGAAAATTCTGTCATTATTTACTCACCCTCATGTTGTTCCAACCCCGTAAGACCTTCGTTCATCTTCGGGACACAAATTAAGATATTTAAGATATTAAGATCGCTCCTGCATACTAGTCCATAGGCTTCTTGAGGGACTGGCTCTTGCTGGCATCGAAAAGTCATTAAAGACATCGTTAAAATAGTCCAAGTGACTACAGGGGCTCAATCTTAAGTTTATCAAACGACGAGAACACTTTTGTGCGCAAAAAAACAACAACAAAAATAACGACTTTATTTCAACTATTCACTTCCTTCTCCATGGGCCTGTAGTCAGTTAGCGTAGTGTGATTGCGTAAAGCTACGACACACGAAGGCTCACTATTGGCCGATTACGCTATTAAACTAATAACCTGACTCGCGCAGAGGGAAAAATAAACCAATAGTTGAAATAAAGTCGTTATTTTTGTTGTTTTTTTGCACACAAAAGTGTTCTCGTCGTTTGATAAAGTTAAGATTGAGCCCCTGTAGTCACTTGGACTATTTTAACGATGTCTTTAATGACTTTTCGATGCCAGCAAGAGTCATTCCCCCAAGAAGCCTATGGACTAGTATGCAGGAGCGATCTTAATATCTTAAATATCTTAATTTGTGTTCCGAAGATGAACGAAGGTCTTACAGGGTTGGAACAACATAAGGGTGAGTAAATACTGACAGAATTTGCATTTTTGGGTGAACTAACCCTTTAACTTAAAGCTACACGGTGTGGGATTTTCTCTCATCTAACGGTGAAATTGCATGACTGCAGTACCATCTGAATATTACTGTCTAGCCCCTCCCATCCCGAGGGCGTTTTTTAAACTCACACAATGACGTATTTTTTCAAATCTGCCGGCAGTGTCGAGTAATCTCCCTCTCGCACTCGTCACGGTGCCCCTTAGTGTAAAACCGCGAAAGGCAAAGATTAAATTTCTAGCTATGTCCCTCTTTGGCTAATGTATTTTCAAGATGGATGCGTTGAGTATTTGTATTCGCTCGTATGTATTCTAAATGTCAGATTCTACGCTTACGAGAATACTTGATAGTTGGTAGAAGTGATTACACATTAATGAGCACACATAATTTTTAAAGATATATATATATAAATTTTTTTTTTTTTTTTTTTTGCTAAGAATCATTAAAAAAAAATGACAGTGTAGCTTTAAACATTAAACTCCTGTAAGTCGGTCAGGGATCTCGGGGATAAGGGGAGGCTAGGACCGACCACTGCGAAAGCACGATCCCCTCTCCACTTACATCATGAATCTGGCTGGGATGGATTACAACTGCTGGTGGACTGTAGGAACCTAACGGGCACGTTCAAAGGTCAAAGTTCTGAAGATAGGTAAGAGGGTGCATGACCATTTAAGGATTTGAAAACAAACAACAACATTTTAAAATCAATGATGACGCTCTGGCAATCAGTTAAGAGACATTAAAATAAGAGTATGTTCATGTTTGCGAACCCCAGTTAGGAATCTGGATGCAGCGTTTTGAGTCATTTGAAGCCTTGTAATGGAAAACTGGAAATGCAAAGGAGGGCCTGAACACAATAGCCTTTAAATGTAAAGAATTTGAGGACATCCAGGATTTGATGTTGTTTAAGCAAGCAAATAGGGTTTCTAGGGCTTTTGTGTCTGTGCGTTTGAAAGGCAGATTTGAGTATTGTCTGCGTACGAGTGAAAAGACACTCCGTGCCTCCTAAAGACTGACCCTAGCGGTGACATGTTTAGTCAAAACAGAGCAGGAGCCAACATGGAGCCTTGTGGAACACCACAGTAGGAGGAGCTACGACGAATCAAGCCTCCGGTGATCCTCCGGTGAACATTGATCTGTGTTGTACTACTTTCATGTTATCAGTGTGAAGCTGCTTTGATACAATCTGTATTGTGAAAAGCGCTATATAAATAAATGTGACTTGACTTGACTATCCACGCCCCTAGCTCACTAGCTCTGTCCTTAGCTCACTATCCACGCCCCTTGCATGAGCTGGTGCTGCAGAGGGAGGAGGTTTTATGCTTTGTGAGACTAATGGCGCATTTCCACTGCTGGTACGGCTCAGTACGGTTCGGCACGGCATGGTTCAGCTCGCTTTGCTTTTCCACAGTGCGGTACGACTCGGCTCAGCACGGCACGGCTCCGCTCGCTTTAGCTCGGTTTGCTTTTCCATTGTAGTTAGTAGCGCTTCAAAGTGTATGGGATTATAGTCTGACCGTTATAGCTTCGGCAAGCAAGTAGATTTAAAACTGGTGCTATTTAAATCTAGCGGGTTTGATGTCTCGCAAATACTACGATGCTGATCGTGACGATTCTGTCTGACCAATCAGTGATCTGTGGTGTGTTCACGTCACATTTTAGTATCGGTACGCTTGGAACCTCAACAGGGGTAACATTTAAAGCGAGCCGTATCGTACCATGCAGCGGAAAAGCACCATATTATTAAACATTTTTTAAATCTCTAAAATGACTGAATATAAGTTGTGAACGATAACATGTGAACGGTTCGTCCGCTGTCTCAGCATGTTTCTAATATTGCCAGTGGGAGGAGTCAGGCTTTGTCCGGGGGTTGAGTTAGCCTTTAATGCTGCGTTCACACCAAACATGAATAGAGCTTCTCGCGCGAGTGGTTTTATTTGGTGATTTTTGTGTTTGACGCCCAAGTTGAAAAACTAAACTTTGGTGTGAATTCGCGCCACGTTAACCAATCAGGAGCCTGCTTGCTGCTGTCACGTGGTAAAGTATCTGGATGCTGGATGCCTCAATAAATTATTTTGTAATAATTAATAATCACTAAAGCAAATATTTTATCACAGAAAAACTCGATTGTAACTTGAATATATGAAACATTATTATTCTAATGTTAAGA